ATCCTTTTTTTTTTTTTTTTTTTTTTTGAGTTGAGTCTCACTCTGTCACCCACACTGGAGTGCAGTGGCTGCTCCTAGCCACTATAGCCTCGACCTGCTGGGCTCCGGCGATCCTTCCGCCTCAGCCTTTCAAGTAGCCGGAATTACAGGAGCGCACTACCACGCCCGGCTAATTTTTTTTTGATTTACTGTAGAGATGAGGTCTCACCAAGTTGCCCAGGCGGGTCTTGAGCCCATGGGCTCAGGCAATCCACTCACCTCAGCCTCCCAAAGCGCGGGATTACAGACTGAGCCATGGAGCTCGGCTCACATAATCCTTTTTTAAAATGTATACATACCATACATACGTGTACTTGTATATGCAGGTAGGCATATATCAATTGAAGAAGGTCTGAAAGATAACAGATTATCTCTTTGTGTTAAAATGAGTAAAAAACTTACTCTAATTTGTGACTATATTTTCTAATATAGTCACAAATTATATAGTTTTCTACAAAGAATTTTTGTTACTTGTTTACATTTTCTGAATTCTCAACACTTCAAAGCATTTGTGACAATGAAAATTGAGTATGATAATGCTTCTTTGAATCAGAAGATAAAATTATAGTTAATTTCAAGTACTCAAATCCTGTGAAACTAAATTTTATTTAAAAAAACAAAAACAAAAAAACTCAAAGCCACCAGTATAGTAAGGATGGACTTTGGAGCCAGAAAGCCATGCAGTCAAATTCCAAATGAATGACCTTAGGGAAGTTTCTTCAATCTAAAAACATAAAGGAATAACAGTACGTACCTCGTTGGTCTAGTACAAGTATTTTTTTTTTTTTGTTTGAGTTGGAGTCTCACTCTGTCACCCAGACTGGAGTGCAGACCATGATTTCATTAAAGCTTCTTAGATTAAATTTAACATCTCAGACCACTCTTATTTTTTGTACAGTTAGTAAATACTTCAGACTTTTGAATAACATACAAACATGGAATTTTTTTTTCTTTTTTTTGAGTTGGAGTCTCACTCTGTCGCCCAGGAGACTGGAGTGCAGCGGCCACTCCCGGCCACCGCAGCCTCTACCTGCTGGGGCTCCGGCGATCCTTCCGCCTCAGCCTTTCTAGTAGCTGGAATTACAGGCATGTGCTACCACGCCTGACTAATTTTTTGATTTATTGTAGAGATGAAGTCTCACTAAGTTGCCCAGGCGGGTCTTGAACCCGCAGGCTCAGGCAATCCACTTATCTCAGCCTTCCAAGGCATGGGATTACAGGCTGAGCCTCTGAGCCCGGCTCAAACGTGGAATTTAATGTAAACAAATATATGATCTTGTAAAAGTTATAGTGTATATTAGGTTATATTTATTCTCTCATTTTAAGAGTTGTGTTCTCCGTGTTTTTCTAATGACTCAGTTTGTAGTATATTTTAGATTGCTCATCTATAAACTTAATTAGAAGATGATTCCTAAAGGACAACTGATTTATATTTGGCTTTGCTGTTTCTTTTTATTATAGATCGTCTATTATTTCTGCAGCAATACATCTGGTACCGGTGAGTTTTAAATGCTTCAGGGAAATAATATGAACATCAAATGCAAACAATATTATCCTCTTTATGATTTAAGTTCTCATAATTGAATCCCAGATCATAACATTGCTGACATTTAGGTGAACTCAGTTTATAAAATAGACATTTGAAACATTTTTGCATAACCTGACAAGATATCTCAGTAGGCTTAGGGTAATTTTTGTTCCTTTTGTTATTATTAGTATCTCTTAAAGACTTTTGTTATTATTAGTATCTCTTAAAGACTTTTGTGTTCTTTGCCTTATCTTGAATGTGATGCATCTGTAGCTTATATATCTTTTAAAACAGCATTTTTGTTGTTATTGTTACATCATCTTTCTTGTGGTCAATATTCAGTCAATAATCAGAGAAGGTGTCAGCTTTTGTGTAATTTTTAATTTCTTTAGTGTTTTTTTTTTTTTTTTGAACAGGTATCTCACTTTGTCGCCCAGGCTGGAGTGCAGTGGTACGCTCATGGCCACTGCAGCCTTGTCCTTCTGGGCTCAGGTGATCCTTCTGCCTCAGCTTTCCAGGTAGCTGGAACCATAGGTGTGCACCACCATGCTTGGCTAATTTTTTGATTTATTGTAGAGACGAGGTCTCACCATGTTGCCAGGTTGGTCTCGAACCCCTGGACTCAGACAAGTCTCTCACCTCCACCCCCTAGAGTGTTGGGATTACAGGCGTGAGCCACTGAACCCTGCCAATTTCTTGAGTATTAAGTGTATTTTCAGACATGGTGTTAATTTTCAGCTTTAAAAAGAACAAAGAAATAATTATTCTGACAAAGAATATAATTTTCCTTTTAGATACATGTATGGGAATTGTTTTGTGGAATTATTGACTACAGATTGCTTTTTCTTTGAGGACATCTAATCTTAAAAGCCCTAGAGATATATGCAGTTCTATAAAAGAGACCTTTGGCTCTTCTCTAGAACTAGCTCCAGTGTTTTCCTTTCATATATGTGTGTGTGTGCACAAACATATATATATATGTATTTGTATGCATATTTAAATTCTTTAATTTTATCTTGTTTCTTGGGGATGTAGGATGTAATAGGGTAGAGAGATGAGTGAGGAGAGAGAGAGTGGGGGAGGAGTGTAGGAGGTAGGCTATTTTTCCTGAACTCACTAGGGTAAGTTGCTGTTTGATGGTCCTTTTTGTTCTCTATTGGGAGGGAAGACTCAAAAAGAGCTAACTCTGATACAAGCCTTAACCTAGGTGTGAGCACCTTAAGATCAAGTGTCAGTAGGTATCTGACTCCCTTCCTCCTGAGAAGTCTTTTTCCTTGAATTGGCCATGTTGATCATTATACAGGTTATAAATGCACCATGAGGTGATGACTCTTCCTTATGAGCTGTTACTTTCAAAAAGATTGTAGTTCAATTTGTGCTCTCGAGTTTGTGGTAATTAAACCTAAATGTTTTGAGGCCAATATTTGTTTCAAGTGGTTTTTCTTTTTTAAAAGTTTTTCTCTTTTAATTGGAAATATTTTAAACATACTGAGAATTCTAGACAATGTAATAAACCTACATATTACTTACTCTACATCTGAATTAAAGCAGTTGTTGCTCTTTTGCCATATTTGTTTCAGATAGCCCCTACTTTTTATGCAATATTTTGTTCTTCCCTCATCTTTTTTCTCTCCCTTCCCTTTCAGAGGAAATTATCATTCATATGATATTCACATGCATGTTTCATATGTTTATTATAATATTTTTGTAACTATTTCTTGATATAAGCTGTTTTTATTTTTAAAAGAGCATAAACATACCAAATGTATATTCATAATATTTATTGTTGTTATTATTATTATTATTATTTTGGAGTTGGAGTCTCACTCTGTCGCCCAGACTGGAGTGCATTGGCCACTGCTGGCCACCGCAGCCTCGACCTGCTGGGCTCTGGTGATCCTTCCGCTTCAGCCTTCCAAGTAGCTGGAACTACCGGCACGCGCTATCACACCTGGCCAATTTTTTGATTTATTGTAGAGATGAGGGCTCACCAAGTTGCCCAGGCGGGTCTCGAACCCGTGGGCTAAGGCAGTCCACTCATCTCAGCCTCCCAAAGTGCGGGATTACAGGCTGAGCCACCGAGCCCGGCCATTATTATTTTTTAAATTTTAAATCAAATATTTTTTTCTTAGAGATAAGATCTCATTCTGTTCCCAGGCTGGAGTGTCTGTTCACAGGCACAACTATGGTGCTCTACATCCTTGAACCCTTGGCCTTTAGCTATTTTCCTCCTCCACTGTACCCAGCCACTAGTGTTTTTTAACCCCATTTTGTGTTTTCTGGTTTCATAATGTAGATTTTTTCTCTGATGAAATTGTTCTCGTTGTTCTTCCTTTCTGTTTTCTTGATTTCTTCAGGTGTTGCTACTCTGATTTGTTGTGTCTGCTTACGTGGTGGACGGTTTCCTCATGTCTTTTGTGAATGACTTTAATGTGAACTTATGCTTGAGAATTCTTGCATCACATGAGTATAGTGAAATTGGTCTGATCTTGCATCTAGTTTAGGCTTGGACTTTTAATTTTTCATAGGAGATTATACTCCCATTCTTCATAGAATCAGAATTACAGGCAGAGATGATAGTCCTTACAGTCTTACTGGGCCCATGGGGAGGTGTTCTAGTTCTCTTTTCACTGATGGTGCAGTCATTTGAGTGTCCTGGCTTTTGCAGGTGTCTCACTTCTACCTCCTGTCCCCTCTTTGGTCTAATAACTTGTTTCCTATCACGTGGAGATCCTGTTTTGGGTTCTTGTCTCTTCCTTTCCCTTGTGCCCAATAATAGCTTTTAATTACCTTTTGATTTCTGGTACTTGGACATTTCTCTTTCTTTCTTGTGAGTTTAACTCTATGCTAGAGTTCGTTTTTGTTATATAGTTGAGTCAGAGTTTCTAGGTGGTCGAAGGAAGAAGGGTTTGGTATAAGCTCACTTTGCTCTGTTACTGCTATGTTCCCTATCCTTTCCTGGGAAGTACATAGCACTTAAACCTTTGAATACACCACCTTGTTTTTCTGGAAATAGAGAAACGTGTATGGTAGAATTTCAGATATTAAAATTAGTAACTTTTGGTTTTGGGTTTGCTAGTATTCACATTTTATGTTCTGATGGAAACAAATTATTTGTCTTTCTATCTCTGTCTAGGTATGTGTGCTGTTTGTATTAATCATATTCTTTTATGTTGTTTTCATGATTAGATTTTAAGCTAGCTATGTGTTGTGATTTCAGCCCTGCACCTTTTTTGCTCCCTGATGGACTAGTTCGCTTGGTTAATAAGCAGATAAACTGGCATTTGGTACTTGCAAGGTAAGGTTGTGTAAAATCAATACACTTTTTCATTCTGGATTAACTTTTAAATTTCATTATGGACATTACTTTTGCGTTTCTTATGGCTTCCATTCTTGATTTTTATTGTATGTAAATTCCGCTTGTTGCATATGATTAGTATTATTTAAACATGTTAATTCATTGTGAACCATTAATCATCTTGTATGCTTTTTACCTATATACTTATAGTAAGGTTAAAATATTTTTAAAGAGTGTGAAAAAATTTTAAAATGATTTTAACTTCTTTAAAATAAGTCTGTGTTGAAGACTGCTACAAATATTCACAATATATTTCATCCCTCTTTCTCCCCCATGAAAGCAATGGAAAACTTTTGGCTGCTATTCAAGATCAGTGTGTGGAAATCAGGTAATTGTTAAAACTATCTGTTTATTTATTTAATTTAACATTATTTATATAACAATTTGTTTATAAATTTAAGATTTTCTTTGAGAAAAATTTTACTTGATAAATGGGAACTAAGACTTTGAGGTTGTATTTAAGGGGATTTCATTTTTATTTTTATTTTTTGTTTTTTTGAGTTGGAGTCTCACTTTGTCACTTTGTCAAGACTGGAGTGCAGTGGCCGCTCCCGGCTGGGCTCCGGCGATCCTTCCACCTCAGCCTTCCAAGTAGCTGGAACTACAGGCGCACGCTACCACACCCAGCTAATTTTTGATTTATTGTAGAAATGAGGTCTCGCCACATTGTCCAGGCGGGTCTCGAACCCGCGGGCTCAGGCAATCCACTCACCTCAGCCTTCCAAAGTGCTGGGATTACAGGCTGAGCCACTGAGCCCGGCTGGGATTTTATTATTAATTCACTTAATTTTGTGTCAAATACCAACTTATGCCAGTAAAAGAATGAAGGATACTGTTGGGTGCAGTGGCTCATGCCTGTCTTCTCAGCACTTTGGGAGGCTGAGGAGGCCGGAGGATTGCTGGAGCCAAGGAGTTTGAGACCAGCCTAGGCAACATGGTGAGACCTCATCTCTACAAAAAAATAAAAAATGAGCTGGGCATGATGGCAAATACCTGTAGTCCCAGCTACTTGGGAACTGAGGCAGAAGGATTGCCCGAGTTCAGGAGATAGAGGCTACAATGAGTCACGAGCCGCTGTACTTCAGCCTGATGACAGAGTGAGACCTTGTCCCCCCCCCCCAATGACATAAGGAATGCTTTCTCAGAGTAGTATTCTTGTCTTTCTACTTCCTGGGTTATTGTTGTCTCCTAAGATTTTTACTTTCTCAGTAAGTGAGGCCTGTCTTCCTGAACTGTGGGAGATTACTGTTGTTTGAGTAGTTATTGCTAATTCAGCTAAACAGACATCCAGGAAGGTTTAAAAAAAGAGTAGAGGCAGTTTCACTCTGTTGGCACAAAGCTGTAGATCAAATATGGGTGTGCAAAAGACCAAAGTTACATTTTACTTAGACCAGGAATGGTATCTGTCCTTTTAAGATATTCAGTGCTATTATATGCATACACAGCTAAAAGACTTCTCTAAGATGGACTTCTCAAGTATTTTATTTTGTTTATTTTAGTTTTTGAGTAGGAGTCTCACTCTGTCACCTAGGCTGGAAGGCAGTGGCATGCTCCTAGCCACTGCAGCTTCGACCTGCTGGGCTCAGGCGATCCTTCCACCTCAGCCTTCCAAGTAGCTGGAACTACAGGCATACGCCACCACGCTCAGCTAATTTTTTGATTTATCGTAGAGATGGGGTACTCACCAAGTTGCCCAGGCTGGTCTCGAACTTGTGGACTCAGGCAGTCCTCTCATCTCGGTCACCCAAAGTGCTAGGATTATAGACGTGAGCCACCGTGCCTGGCCTAGGTATTTTATTTTTAAATGATGCATCAGTTATCAACAATAGCAGCTAACTCAGAAAACCTAGTTCATTCTTTGGGAAATTTGTAACAGCCGACTAAATATGTGGCATCTCTATATTAGAGGGTTACTCCTTTTTTCAGGCCAGGTCTACCTCTTAAAAAATAAGCAAAGGCAGCAATTTCAGGATGTCTAGATACCAGTCACAAGGTTTTTCTGCTGCTTCTTTATTCTTGACTAAAAATAGTATTAATGACCATTCAGTTGTTACTGTGTCACACAGTCTGTGTGGCACAGTCTGTTTGGCAGTCTGTTTGTGATTTTTCTTTCTTTTTCCAGCTATCCAAGCAGAACTGGACCCCTTAACTTTTTGGGGAATAGACAGATTTGCCCTCATCTGAACATTGGCCTCAACTGGGGAGACTTTCTAATCTCTTCAAAACCATCGGGATAAAAATGATGGGCAATGATGACAGCCTTTCAGAACTAAATGATCTAATTGGACATGTCTGTGAAAGGCAGGTCCCTCTTTTTCTTTCTTTTTTTTTTTTTTGAGTTGTAGTCTCACTCCGTCGCCCAGACTGGAGTGCAGTGGCACATCACGGCCGCCCTGTGTCAACCTGCTGGGCTCCGGCGATCCTTCCGCCTCAGCCTTCCAAGTAGCCGGAGTTACAGGTGTGAGCTACCATGCCCGGCTAATTTTTGATTTGTTGTAGAGAAGGTCTCGTCAAGTTGCCTGGGCTGGTCTCAAACCTGCAGGCTTAGGTAATCCACTCGCTTTTGCCTCCCAAAGTGCTGGGATTACAGGCTGAGCCTCCGAGCCCTGCCCCTCTTTTTCAATAGCATCATTGAGCATCAAATTGGCACAATATGTGTGAATTTCCATTGTTCATAGGACTGGATCAGCACTTCCTGTTTCATTTGTTACAGTAATGTGAAATGTATATTTTTGAGAAATGTGCTCTTGGTGTGACTGACTTATAAAAAGCAGGTGGACAAAATTTTTTCCTGTGAATGGAGAACACTGATCAACTGATTTTAAGTGTTAAGGTCAGGGTGTGTATGCGAGGTCAGGGTGTGTGCATTCGGGGTCAGGACAGATATTTAGGTTAGGCCTTTGAAGGAGAGTTTGACTAAGGGTTTCATGGAATTTGTTAATTAAAATTTTAATAAAAATAATACAAAGATAATTTGCAAAAGCTTTATAATGTTAGTATAACTAAGGATTCTTATATGTATGGTGAAGAGGTACCTACACTAGGAAGCCTTTTGGGAACATACTCCTACTGATCCCCCTCACCCCCAAAATTAGTTAGGTACTGATCTTTTTTGCTTCTGAGGTAATCAACATTTTTCTGTTATTGTACTTAATAAGAATATAATATAAACAATGTCGGACACTGTTGTAAATGCTTTAATGTGTTAATTCATTTAATCCTGGCAGAGGCCCTGTGAGATAGTAGGTATTGCTATTCTTCTCCATTTCTGAAATGAAGAGGCAGGCACAATGTGGTTAAATAACTTGCCCAAGGATTTGAAATCAGTGAGCCTAGCTTTGATGTTCATGCTCTTAACCACAAAGCTATATTACCATTTGATCATGTTGTGCTTAGCCGTGTGTGCTTATGTGTTTCTTCCATTATATTTAAGGCCACTGCTTTGCACAACTCGAGCATATGCCATTTACCAAAAAATCTGAGTGGAATCTGGGCTCTGCATCTTCGATTATATTGTGTGTTCCTTGGAGGCATGTTACATTTCCTGGAACATAATAGAGACTAATAGTTTATGCTTGATCAATAAGTGGAGTCTTTGTGAGTGGGATACGGGAAACAGGTGCTGGGAGGGAATTACCGGGCATAGCTCCCTGCATTGCTCAGAGTTGGCACTCAGTGGTTTTTACCGAATGAATATAGGCATACACACTGGGTTTGTAGTAACCTAAAAGAAAGTGTCTTTGAGCAAAGATGTGGAATGGTCAGCAAAGAAAAAGGGCCAGAGTGGATCCCAAAAGTAAACCCTGTGAACAGTGGCTGTCCCTGAATTTTTAATACGTCTGTTTTCTCTATTCCATGTTTGTCTTTTCTACCACAGTGAAGAACATACACAATGCAAGATTGTCTCCATTAGTGAGGGAGCACATACCTACAGGCATTCAGTAGATATTTACTGATTGGATTAGACTATGAAAGATAATTATAGTATCTTGGGTCATTATTGGATATTAGGAGGCAGTGATAAGTAGGAAATAGTATTTGAGAAAAGACAAGTGAAAAACTGAAACACAGCTTAATTTTTGAGAGACAGCTCTGCCTTTCATAATATAGTACTAAAATTGCTGTTTCTAGTTTTATTTTGTAGTGAGGGGTAGCTCCCTAGGTGTAGTTGCTTGGTCTACTATGGCATATTTAACCTGCTGATGTGTGGGGTTGCCCATGCATTAAAAAAAAAAAAAAAAAAGACATATGAGTTGCTTCTTTAATTTGACATTTGGCAGGAGTTACAGATTATATAATTGGTTAGTATGTTTCCCTTTCTAAATAGTGAAGTGATGATTTCTTATGACTAAGGACTGTTATAAATATGGCAACTAGAGCAACCCTTTCGGGTCCCCTCCTACTGTGGGAGCTTTCCTGTCCTCTCAATAAATCCTACTTTCTAAAAAATAAGTAAGTAAGTAAATAAATAAATAAGGCAACTAATTAGAAGCTATCATTAACACTGCAAAAAGCGGCTGGGCTCGGTGGCTCAGCCTGTAATCCCTCGCTTTGGGAGGCCGAGTTGAGTGGATTGCCTGATCCCGTGGGTTCGAGACCCGCCTGGGCAACTTGGCGAGACCTCATCTCTACAATAAGTCAAAAAAATTAGCCAGGTGTGGTAGTGCGTGCCTGTAGTTCCAGCCACTTGGAAGGCTGAAGCGGAAGGATCGCCTGAGCCCAGCAGGTCGAGGCTGCGGTGGCTGAGAGTGGCCACTGCACTCCAGTCTGGGCGACAGAGTGAGACTCCAACTCAAAAAAAAAAAAAAAGAAAAAGAAAAGGAGGGAGGACAAGTGAAGTTGTTGTTATTCCATTTTTTTTTTTGAAGGAGAAATGAAATTTCTGTTAAGTATCTTGTCTATGTTACACATATAGAGCTAGAACCAGGTTAACTTTTCTTCTAAGACCATGTATTTCTGCTGTATTCCACTTGGAGACTGAACAGTTAAATTTCTTCAGGAAATTTATTTCCATATTTATAATTGGCTTTAGTTGTAATATAATAATTTTTAAATAGCTAATGCTTAGTTAGTTTTGAAAATACAGTTAAGAAGAAAGAAGGAACTACAAATTACCTATAATTCTGCTACCCAGAGTTGTCTATTGTTGATATTTTGGTATGTGTTCTTTGAAACTTTTCTATCTGTATATCTGACCAGAAGCCATACTAATAATATAAACAGTTGATTAATGTATAGTTTGTATGTATTATGTACTGTATTCTTACAATAAAGTAACCAAGAGAAAAGAAAGTGTTATTAAGAAAATCATAAGGAAGAGAAAATATATTCACTATTATCAAGTGAAAGTGGATTATCATAAAGGTCTTCATCCTTATTATTCTCATGTTGACTAAGCTTAGGAGGAGAAGGAAGAGAAGAGTGTGGGCTTGTTGTCTCAAGGGTGGTAGTGGCAGAAGGAAATGTATGTATAAGTGAACCTGTACTTTTCAAAACCGTATTGTTCAAGGGTCAACTGTAGTAATTGCTGTATTTTATTGAGCGCACATAGTAAAATTTAATTGATTAATCTCCTTATGCTGAGTGTATTTTTCTCTCTTATAAATTAGAAGCATTAATTTTCTTGATATCTGTATATGTCTATAATTATTTCCTGGGGATAACTTCATAGAAGAGGAATTTGAAGTCAAATGTTATGGTATTAAGGTTCTGGATAATTATTATTAAATCGTTCTCTAAAGGGTTTACCAGTTTTCATTTCTAAGCATATTTTATCATAATCGTACTACTTTGGTATATATTTCTTTTTTTTTTGAGTTGGAGTCTCACTCAGTTGTCCAGACTGGAGTGCAGTGGCCGCTCCC